GGGGGGGGGGGGGGGGGGCGTTTGGTCACCTTTTCGATTCGGTTGCCGGAGAGTTAGACGGTGGTGGGTGGGGAGGTGTTCTATGAACGCGACGGCTACAAAGACAAAGAAACACACACACACAGCTCGGTGCCTTTTTTTGCGATAAGACTCTTCGGCCCTGTACGGGGGCCGGTGTTGGGACTTGGCAAGCCCCTCTGTCGGCACGGGTTGGAAGCCACACGAAAACCCAGCGCGAGAATACCCGCAAAGAAAAGACTCAACTTATTTAAAAAGAGGTTAACTTGCCCTTTCTAGTAGGAGTAGGCAACAAGCCAACCGCCCGCCCGCCTGCACGAGAAACAAGAATTTGTTCATGACTTGCGAGAATACGTCGCTCGCCACGAACTACTTTCCCCTCTGCACGGGGTGTCTCCTTTCCCCGTTTCGGCCCCCATCAGTTTTTTTTTAAGCACTTTCAATTGAAGTTCAAGAACCTCGCAGCTTTACGACTTGCGCGCGTCCTGCCCGTCAACCGTGTTAACTCTCTTTGTCTCATTCCCCCTCCTCTCTCTGTCTCACACACTTTTGAGACAAAATTCTCAAACAAATGGATCCCCGAGCACGTGCTAGAAAAGAAGAAGCGCACATAAAACATGCCGATCCCCAGACCGGCCCCTACACACACCTCTTCGCTGGCGACGAAAATCCACTCGTGATCTCAGATTCTAGGTGCCGTGAGGACGGAGCACATTAGCGCCCACCTACTGTCCGTGTGCTTGAGCGACAAGCCCCCCCGCCGGGGTGACCGGGACCTCGCGAGCAGGAGACAGGTGAAAGAAGACAAGTGGGCAAACGAACGAACTTCAGTAGTTTACGGAGTATATCTTTTTGAATTGGTGTATGACCTCGTTAAACCTGTCGACCAACGACAATACATCAGTTTTTGATTGTGTGTAAGCTTAATCAATAGGAGGGTACGGTATGTGTGTAGTGCCCCATGATCACCGGCAGCCGTAGTCCTCGGACCACGGGCTCCTCGTCGAGACAGGAACTAGACATGTTCTTGATAGACAACCGAGCGCTTTCGTCTGTGCACAGCTGTTTTAGACTTGGGGCGTACGTTGTAGTGAGTCTACATAGGTAGAGATGCCGTCTACAAGGTGTGCGGTGGGCTCGATCGCAGCTCAGTGCTTCACAAGTTTGTGTTATGTTCTGCGCGCAATTTGTTTTGTTTCTCTCCGACAGAACGTGACGGAGGGGACAAAGACGGTGGCCTACCTGTTGGACGCACAGACCATCAACATCAAGGTACACGATGTGATGATGTTTGTTGAGAGGGTATCTGTGACCTCCGTATGCGCTGAAGCACCACGTAGTCATGTCACGGCGTCATTTTTTTATGCCAAACCGTGAGCGTTGTGGAGGGTGCTGCCACATTGTGCAATAGCGTTGCTCCTACTCAACCTTCGTCTGACTTACCGCAACTCATCAACCGCAACATGACAATCCCATCGATGTCGTGATACGCGACCCGTTATTTACCTGCGGCGGTCGTGCCAACACTGAAGCCAGAGCGTGTACCGTATTTTGGTCTCTTCGTTCTCTTCGCCCGATGGTCTTTTGGCTCGTCACGACCAGGACCTGGTCACGAACGCGACGAGCTCGGTGTCCCACGATAGCAAAATCGACTGGCTAGAGCTCAACGCCAGGGCCGACCTCCTCCTCTTCAGAGATAGGCGGCGACGCCTTCATCTGTGAGTAAAAAAAGTGGACACTAGTTGAAATGTACCGTTACGGAGTAGTGCGTCCCTAATGGTTGCCCCGATGGTCGTCGCCGTTGTGGAGTGTATCTTTCCTTCACCTCTGGTTTACTCTTTGCACATTGTTGAATTGAAAAAAGACCCACTTACAGACAAACAGCAGTGATTGGTGTCCCGAACAACGAAAAGACGCTCACAAGACAAGTTCAGTCGCACGGTTGAGGTTGACACGCGCGGTTCTTTTCCAGGCCTGATCCGACCCCGAAAGCTAAAATCGTCACCATTTTTCCTCGGCAAACGAAGTGGAAGCTTGTCTGTCTATGAACGTGGTTGGATTCCCGAGCACAACATGTTGCAGAATGTGTCCTGGTCAAGGGTATAATCTGCGACCCCAAGGCGTGAGGAACCCCCCTCCCCTGCGCATCCGCTGGGGAACGCAAGCGACATCGAAACGTTCGATTCGTGTACCGTGATGCAGACGAGCCGCAAACAAACCAACAACAACACTCTTTGGTTCTCTTGCGACACGATAAGGTACAACCTGCGGACGCAGACTCGAGGGACCCTCCTGAACTACTGCACGTACGTCCAGTGGGTGCCGGACAGCGACGTGGTGGTGGCTCAGAACAGGGGTGCTCTGTGCGTGTGGTACAACATACACGCCCCGGACCAGGCAAGAACCGCAAGGCTTATCCCGAACGAAACCCCAAACCTCAGCCCAAACCCTGATCCTGCCCCTAGCCCTCCAGCCGTGATCAGTCTTCTGGTATGTCCTACGTACGCTTGAACACATGCTAGGGGAGCCAAGTTGTTGTTGTCCTACTCTCGACTCGCCCGATTCTTCCCCTACAAGATTATACCGTGTGATGTGGTTCTTCCTTGTACTTGATCGTTCACTCGCCGCCTCAATCCATCTCATCCTGCCACCGTTGCACGTCCGCCCAACTTCGAGACTACACGACCGACAAAGCGCCAATCTGTATAAACCTGCGCATGCATTTGCCGTTTGATCAGCAACAGCAGTGGTTCTAGCTTTGACAACCCCTGCAGAAAACCTACGGTTGCTCGTGTTTGCGACCAGAACAGCTTGACTATGAGCAGAGAAGGAGCGCATGGCTTTTTTGCGTAGAGTAGTGACGGTAAGACTGTTGACTCTGAAAACAGCGTGGAATGGTGCCATTGAGAATCAGTGTGCGCGGGGAACCATTGGAATTCGCGTGGGTCTTGACGGGACCGCCAACAGCGTTCACTACAGCTAGTCCGACCAGCCCCTACAGAATCACGGTGCCTTGAGCGTAACTCCGCGGTTCCCTCTCCACCCCTGCGCCTAACTGCACACCCCCGAACGCCTCCTCCTGTCCAAAACGGTGCCCCAAACCCTCTCCTCCGTGTTTGTGCCTTTTTTGGAGTCCAGGTGACAACGCACGAGATAAAGGGTGAGGTGTACGAGATCGAGCGCCTGAACGGGTGCACGGAGGTGATCGTCAACGAGGGCTACCGCGAGGCGAGCTATGTCCTGGACGAGGCCCTGATCCGGTTCGGCGGGGCGCTGGACGACGGGGAGTACGCCCTCGCCGTGTCCATCCTCGAGCCGCTCGAGGTTACCCCGGAGGTGACCGCCACACACGCGTTGGACAAATACCAAAAGTATCGTGTGCATGCACTGGAAAATAGTAGGATACAACATATGAGTCGGGGTCGGGGTCGGGGGGGGGGGGGGGGGGGGGGGGANNNNGGTGAGAATGAGGGACAGGTCACTGGAACGAGGAGGGGTGGGAAAGGGTAGATAGACAGCAATAGAGGAGGGGATAGGTCAGAAAGAGGTCTCTGTTACGCTACGCTACCGCCCTCGTCGACAATGCTGTACTTCTTCCTTCCTTTCTCCCTGCCCCCTTTTCCCCTCATCTCTCCCCCCCCACCGCCGCCGCCCCCGCCCCCCTCGCCTCTTTCTCTATTCTTCCTGCTGCCACTGCGCGTCTCATCTTTGTGTAGGCTGCGGCCATGTGGCAGCAGCTCGGGAGCGTGGCGCTGGAGGAAGGAGACATCTCCATCGCAGAAAGATGCGCAGCGGCGCTTGGGGACGTTTCTCGCGCTCGATTCCTGCGCAAGGTGTGAAGCCAGTGTAGGCCGAAGCGAGACTTTCGTCCGCGTTTAATGCAATGTCGGTGTTGTCATAGCAGGACGTGGTCCGCTGGCACTCGGAGAAATACGATGGTCCGCACAACGCGCACGTGAGATGCCGGCATGGAACCGGGGCGATGATATCCTCTTTTTCTGTACGTTCACGTGCGGTACCAACGATCAAACGGTCATTGAAGGGCACAAGAAGGAAGAAGCACCCTCCTTCTCCCCGACCTGCCGGCGCTAGTTAGGATCTGCTCCGTCCTTTCTCGCGTCGCTCCGACACAACAAAGTGCTCTCTGTGACCGGCCCCTCGATGCCGATCTGGTCTGCGAAAATACGGTACGCCTCCGCGTTGAACTCTTACGAGATGCGTCGAGGGCGTTATTCCATGCCGGCATCCGAACGAGCTTAAATATCACCCTCACCTCACTCTGCAAGAAACGTGGTGCGCATGGTACGTATTACGCCTCCATCAAGCCAAGAGTCGGCGTGGGTCCTCTCCCACCCCCCTTACCATTGCCAAAGGTTTCTAAAAGCGCGAACAAGGCTGCGGGGCCGGAGGGGCTAGGCCCCAAGGACATGCAGGATCACTGGTCGGTGCGGTACCGGCTGGCTCTTCTTCGAAAGGCGAGACGAGGGGAGGGTGTGGGTATGGAAAATATGTTTTTGATGTCACCCAAAGCGGCAACGAACTCATGTCCCAGTGAGCCAACGTCCCAATGTGCGTTGTTCGTCGGCGTTTAGTGCACCCATTAAAAAACACGTCCGGCATGCGTCTGTGTTATCACCGGACAACATCACATCAGTCTGTATCGCAAAGGTTGTGGTTTGACCTGGAACGGGCCACTGCTGTAGTGTGTCCGGTGTGTCTCGGTGCTTCGAGTGTCGGGTGCTGGAGAATTGAAACGAAAACCTTTCCAGGTCCATATGTCGAATAAAACAATAGTTTAGTGTGGCCGTCCAGCGTTTGTGGCATCACACAGGCTGATTTCTCAATGGCAATATGGAGGGGCGAGTGCTAGTTACCACCTCCTCTCCCTCAAAGTTTTATCACACTTCCTAGGGTCTCTTTCTTCCTCGCTGCCCCCCCTCCCCTCTCTCTCGCAATGTCATCCTCTTCCATCCATTAAGCATACAGCAAGACCAGGCGGCCACCCGTTAGTTTGCTCATGGTTCCACACCTCATGCTCTTCGCAACACTGTAGATACCGTTGTATCGCCAAATGCACGCTTTTCATGCGTCGTTTGAAGCCGCCGTTTTTTTTCTTCCAAAAAAGGAAAGGCAGGCCACAACACCACACGACATTGCCCTTGTACCGCAAAAAAACGTGTGGTGTACAGGACCTGCAAGGAGCGGAAGACGTGCTGGTGTCGCAGGGCAAGGTGGAAGAGGCCATCGCCATGCGCCACGGCCTGCACCAGTACGAGGAGGCCCTCACCCTCGGCCGAGCGCACCGTCTGCCCGAGGAGCGGCTCGAGGGCATGGCCCAGGACTACTTCCGGCTCCTCGTCGACACCAAGCAGGAGGAACGCGCCGCCGCTCTGAAGGAGAAAGAGGTGTGTGTCTTCTTTGTTGGCATCGACCGCGCTGACCGGCTGCCCAATGAACAGACGCCAGTCTCAGTGCGGTTGAAAACACAAAAAACACTTCTAAATGTCATTAGCTGGGACCCCGTGAGTGTGTGTATGTCCGTGTGTTTGTGGGGGGTGTTGTGCCCTTTGAATGGAATCGACCGCGCAAAACGGGGGGGACCGTTCCGTTTTTGCGCGTCAGTCCTGGCGGTGCACGTGCATGCTCGTGAACACCTCAAAACCCGCGCCTAACGATTGGACGTTGATTCCGTCCGTTTTTGTCCTTCGCCACAGCCTCTCTCCTCCCTAACCCGCGTTTGATCCCCTTGCGTGGGAAAACGAGACTCGAAGAGAAATTCGAGCAAGTACAATGTAGGCCGTCAAAGGACCGCTTGTTCTCTTCGAGAAGTCCTAACCGCCAAACCCTGTTGACCATCACGCTAACTGATATCTTCCTCTACCCGCCCTTCGTTTGCCACCCGCCTCCGGCTTCTTTTCCGCTTCTCTTCAATTCTACGCGCGAGCAAAGGGAGACTACGAGCAGGCCATCCGGCTGTATCTCAAGGGGGGGCTGCCGGCGCAGGCTGGGCGGGTGCTCAAGGAGAGGTCGGTGGAGAACAAGGGGCAGCTGCTGGAGACCGTGGCGTCCACGCTCTCGGCGGCCGGGATGCACGACAAGGCCGGGGAATTCTACGAGGAGATGAACCAGCTGCAGCGGGCGATGGACAGGTATGCCAGTAGGTCGTGATGCGATGGCAGGGATAGGAGAGAGACGGGGTTACTTGCTCTCGTCTTCTTCTTGTTCTCCTTCCACCGATTCACCGGTACTATTGCGCGGAGATGCGGCTGCCGCTGTCGGCGTGTTTTTCTGTCTATATCGTAGCGGTCTATTGCTGCGACGGATACACCAGGGTAAAAAAAGCCCCCACCGAGCCGTAGTCAGGTACGTACCAACAGATACACATACACACACACACACACAGCCGTGCTGCGACTGACGTGTTTTCGTTGGTCACTCGCGTAGCGCGGTCGACGCTTAGACACACGCACATGTTTGGCCTGGTTGTACTTGCTACTCAATGTTTCTGTTCTTGTTCTTTGTGCAGCTACACGAGGGGGAACGCCTACCGCCAGGCCGTGGAATTGGCGCGTCGCTCGTTCCCCGCAGAAGTGGTAGATCTTCAGGAGATGTGGGGGGACTACCTCATGACCCAGAAACAGGTCGGTTGCGTGCCTTCGAAATGTTTTGGAGGGTCTTTGGATGCTGAGGTAGGTATGCACGTGGGCCAGGAGGTATGAGCATCCACAAACGTTAGTCTGGTCAAGGCAAGCTCGAACTCGGCCTGCTCATCACCTCCTCACTCACCTATGTACATACATGAAACACCGGGAACAGAACCAACCCCTGCGGCCAAAAATCGCGGGTTCTTGACTCATTCCCCGGCTGCCAATAATTGTGAATCGGTTGTACGATGGGCAATATCCCATCTGTGCAAATCCACCAAAAGTCAAACCAAAACGTATGAAAAGTACTTCTGAAAAAGACGAACACGATCGGGAAAAACGTCTCGAAACAGGTTGACATGGCCATCAACCACTACATCGAGGGGCGCGCCAACGCCAAGGCAGTCGGCGCCTGCCTGACCAGCAGGCAATGGTCAAAGGCCGCGCAGCTCCTGGAAACCCTTGACGGGGATTCCGCGAGGCCCCACCTGCGCACCCTGGCCCGCCACCACGAGCAGGCGGGCAATCACGCGCTAGCGGAGAGGTTCTACGTCGACGCGGATGCCCCTCAGCTCGCCGTGGAGATGTACACCAAGGTAAGCGTGGAGAGGCGGTGCTGGAGGGGGCGAGAGGGGACCGGAGGAGGGGAAGGGGTACTCAAGAGGACAGGGGGGGGGGGGGGGGGGGGGGGGGGGGGGGGGGGGGGGCTAAAGGT